ACATTCTCTCTCTCTCTCTCTCTCTCTCTCTCTCTCTCTCTCTTTCTCTTTTTCCCTTTTGTTCTGGCAAGCATTGGAATGCGGATCGACATCCCTGTTGCTTTTTCTCAATTTGGTGAAGGAATTGAAAAACAGGAAAAGTATGAGCTTGAACCAAATGCTCTATTTCGAAATGAAGTTGACTCTTGATTATGTAATTTTGGAGCACCCAAGCCGAGCCATGGGAGTTTGTAATTTATATTGAATATCCATGGAGCTGGGCTGAAGAGCTGAATCTGAATTGGAAAAGTTCTTTTAGCTGTACGGGCATTTGCTCAAGTCCTTCATTTCATATTGGGCTAAGAAGTTAGAAGGAACAAAAACAGTGCAGTAACTCTACAGAGCCTTGAGGTTGAGGTAAAATGTTTCTTATCACATGTAAATACGACTAATTGCTTAGATTAATTCGAAAAGGATTTTCAAGTTGCTGATGGATGTGGCTAATCATTTTTTCTTGCACACATGTCACATGAAATGCAAAATCGTGAAGAAAATAAAGTGGAAAGTGTGTTGGGCTAATATGTTTTGAGTAAGAAGAATAAGATATCGTATTTCACTTTTGTGCTTCACTTTGTGTTTTATTTCATTAGATGAACGACAAATCGACAATAGATATGGTGTTAACTGTTACATTTGTACATTTGGTCATTCATAATGAAACATGAAGCACATATTCTCTGCTGATTTCTGAAATTGTGGTGCAGTATTCACGTTGGATTTGCTCTACATTTTTGTGCTGAATGTATTTAATATTAAGTGTTTATTTAATTTATAGTGTACTTGCCCGTTTCTAACTTGTTATGTTTGTAATAGCACGTACCAATTTTTTTTATCGGTCATTAGCAAGGGGCGCCTTCCCAATTTTTGTAAAATAACACTTTGTGTAAATCATTTGTTTTAAATAATTATTTTTTTTTAAATATTTATTTTTGAAGTGCCTGCTTTAATGCTGTCACAATGAATGCAAATATCTCACTAATATATCGACTTTAGGAGATTCCACCTTTCGAGTTTTAAGTCGTACCTATTCCCTACTGTTGACTCTATCATATACTGTAATTCGAACCAAACACTTCGTGCATAAACTTGTGATAAGCAAGTGAAAGGCCAGCTCGAACTTGACTCGCTTAAACTTGTGAAAGCCCAATTCGGCTAGTTTAACAAACCCCAAAATCGTAAATGAATTGTTTGTGAAAATGATTTGTGAATTTGTGATCATATTTAGCTCAATAGTTCATTTGAAGCTTATAATAATAATAATGAGCTATTTGCGAAGTTGCTTGTTTGTAAGAAATGATTTGTGAATTTGTGATCATATTTAGCTCAATAGTTCATTAGAAGCTTATAAAAATAATAATGAGCGATTTGCGAAGTTGCTCAACTTGGCTCGTTCAATAATTGAGCTCGAGTAGTTGTTCAAGCTCAGTTCATTTAACAAGCCAAACTGAGTTACAGACAACTCAGTTCAAGTAACGGTTCAATTAATAGCTCGAATTCATCATTGAGAATTGTTCCTGCTCGAATTCATCATTGAGAATTGTTCCTGCAACTCAGTTCAAGTAACGGTTCAATTAATAGCTCGAATTCATCATTGAGAATTGTTCCTGCAACTAGTAACTACATTAACTTTGAGAATGTAAAATCTACCCCTTCACACTGTTACCTTAAATCTGTTTTGGCCTTCTGATATCAACTTCTTAAGAACAGACATTTCTTTTCCAATCATAAATTTCACAAGGTTGTTCATTTCCATGCACACTTTGATAGTAGTCCAAGTGATTATTGAGTCATAAAAAACCCTTCCTCTAAATCCTTTCAACAAATTCAAGCCCTTGAACACAAAGGCAACCTACAGTATCTTATAAAAATTTGTTTTAAGGCATTCGATAAACATAATTCCTCCGAGAATGTAAGTTCGCAACTCAAAGCTGGATTTCATACTCCCCAATATAATGATGCCCGCTTCATGGAAAGACCCATCTTGCCGACACAAATATAGTGAAATGACAATAATTATAGAAGTCGGGTGAAATAGCACACGCGCACATGGAGAAATAACCGAAAAAAGAAAGAAAAGTAAAAACAAACGAAAAAAAGAATCATATAATAGCATAAAAGCCAACAGAACTCGTTCGAGATAGAGATAAAGATACGGCTACAGATAGAGCACTTCAATCACAAACCGATACTATATAGCAAACGACAGCACTCAAAAGTAAGTAAAAGCAATAGAGGCTTTGAAGCATTTTAATTGGCACGACTTTTGAAGACATCAAGACCCATCTCAGTTGGGTCGGTTGCCTGAAGCTCTACCTGAATGCCGTCTAATTCCCTCTTGAATCTATCCTTTGAGCTTGCGTAGATCATTTTGCTCCTCACTTTTGCAGTGTCGGGAGACCTTCAAGAACAAAGAGAGGAGAATAAAACACAGTGGTCTTCAGTCGGGTAATGAAATGTGAAAAATGGAAGTAAAAAACATAAAATCACCAGAAATTACCATGCAATGAAGAAAATCCTGCTCTTCGGGACATTCTCTTCAGTGAAATAGTCGAAATCATAAACTGCGTATCGGCACTCCTCGGCAGGAAGGCTTGCAGTGAAGTCATCGTAAGTTTGGGTTGGTTCTCCGAGCTTCTCCACAATAACCTGTTTCTGTTTTTCTTCAATCTTGAAAACAATGAAGCGGTGTGTTCGCTTGGTTTTCAGCTCCATAAACTTCAGTTTGCATTCGTCATCAACTGCCATACCCGATGCTGCATTAGCCTACACACACACACACACACACACAAAAACACCAAATAAGAAAAAAGCAGCTGCAATCATTATTACCACTGAAAAATTGAGGTACTTTTTAGGGTGGAAAGTTTCCAATGGGCAGTTCTTTTTTTTTCCTCTTAAAATCACATGGTCATGTGGATAACACGAATTTTCAAGTTATGAAATGACACACGATTTAGCCCATGTTGATATAACCAGCTAACTAAAATAATATATTCTCAATGCTATAGGGTATGTATATTACAGCACAGAGTGCAAGTGTGCAACCACAAATTCAACTCTGCAAGGAAGACTTTCGAACTTTCGGAGAATGAAACTGACACAAAGCATCAGAAGCTACACAACTAGAAGCTACTGCAGATTTCACATCATCCAATTTGAAAACTGCTGCAATGCTTTCTATAATTTTCCAAATACAAAATCGGGATATTCTTGAAAATGGCTTAGCATATGTTTCAATCAATATGAACCTAAGACAATATAACTATCACCATTTCTTGTTACTAAAATTATTAAAATCAATCTTGTCTGATTTTCTTCTGAGAGTGCATCAGGTTGCTATGTAGTAGCGAATCTTTGTATTAAATTATTAATGAATTATGATTCTCAATATTACAATGCAATGATACTATTAGATAGTAGGTAATACTGGAATATTATCTACTCAGTGATAAAACCAATGATTTGAGGGAGTCCCAAAGGGTCTTTGAGGCTCAAGCCTAAGTAAATGTGGATAATTAATTGAAAACAATGTAAGGCTCAGGTAAACAGATAGATGCTATAGGATTGCACAACTTGAGGATAAAATTTTACGCTGGTCATTTTGAAAGATAAAAGAGAAACAAAACAGAATAAACACACTTAATTTAGCAATGGAAGGCTCCGTTACCTGGATAAAGTTGCATGAATGCACGAAACAGTCCAAGTAGGTCACATTGGAAATAAAAAACGAATAAAAATAAAATAAATCGCGTCTCTCTTTTTTTTTTTTTGTTTGGGCAAGAATATCAACTAATTTCATCATAATAATTGAAAAAAATGATCCTTAACTTTAGCATAAACCCCACACAGAGTTCACCAAGTAATCAACTACATCTGAATCGCATAAGATTATGGAACATCTATTAGCTAGTCAACTACATCTAAATCCCATAAGATTATTTAACATCTATTAGCTAGTCAGCTAAAGTAAAAATTGTTCTTCCCCAAAGTACAACAAAACTGATTTACTGAAAACATTACTCTTGCCAAATCCAAGATCAATCAACAAAATCATTTACGAACTTAGAATTTAACAAGTTAATCAAATAAAAAATGCATCCGATCTAAACATTGAGAAAAGTGAATCAGCAAAAAAGAATACAAACAAACAAGAAGAACCCCAAATCAAACACACAGCTGACCAAAAGCTTCATTTAAAAAAAAAATAAAAAACTTCCATTCTCCGGGCCACAAAAATCGCAAATCTGACACAGTACTCCACACAACTCATCAAAATACGGAACAAAATAAGACAGGAAAAACAGATATGGAAGAGTTGTAAGGAAGGATATTCAACAAAAAGCACAAAGAGAAGCCATTTACCATGGTGCCGAGGGTTGATCGGAGAAAATCGAAGCAATCTTAGCAAGAGGAGAGAATTTAGGGCTGAGAAAAAGACGCGGTGCTTGGAAAGAGAGAGAGAGAGAGAGAAAAGAGAGAGAGAGAGAGAGTTTACTTGTGACCTGAATTATCTATCCGCTTGTGCTCATATTGATTTGACCGTGAACGTTTGATGAGCCTAACACTTGATTGTTTATGAAATAATTATTTTCTTATTTTGTTTAATTATAGTTAATTTTAAAAAAGGTGATATAGTTAGTTGGTAGTGAAATTTTAAGAATGAATTAAAATAATATTTAAAATAAAATGATTAAAATTAATTTGATGTAAAAGTAAGAGATAAATGATTGGAAATAATAAGTAGTTATAATTATGTGAGTGTATGAATATTAAATAAAAGTTGATGTGATGTATAACAATGATTGATTTGTATTTTTTAATTATATAAATAAAAAGATAGTGAAGCTGAGTTAAAATTGAGTTAGATTTTGAGTATGAAATAAAGTTGAGTAAATTATTTCATAACCAATCAAGCTCTTTGATTTGATAATTTGAGTGCCACTGTCTAAATTTTTTAAAATTTAAAACTTTTGAATTTTTTTTTATTATTTAACTGATATGCTAAAAATTTATATTTGGAGGTGATATTTGTGGTGACATTTTGTACATTCTCTCTGAATTTTTATCAAATATTAAAGAGGCAATTGGATATAAATCCAATCGATTTTATTTGGTTAAAGTGAGTTAAATTGAGTTATTTTGGATAAAGTAAATTGAGTGACTGATTTTGAGTTTGAAAATAAATAATATTTAAAGTAAAATGATTAAAGTTGTTGTGATATAAAAGTATGAGAAAAAATTATTGGAAGTGATAGATAGTTAATGAGTTGTAATCATGGATTTATATTATTTAATTATATTTATATTTATAAAAAAGTAAGAGAGTTTGGTTGAATTGGATTATTAGCTAGATGATTGGATATGAATAACTCAACTGGTCATAATTGATTAAAACTGATTATAACTAATATCCAATCAAGTCCTAAGTGTAATCAAATGCAAGTGATAAATAAATTGATAATGCAATTTTTTGATGACTTTGAAATGTGAAATGAATACATCAAATGTACATGTTTTAAAATGTTTATAGTAGAGTGAGAATGGAACTTTGAAATGTGAAATGAATACATCAAATCTACATGTTTTATAATGTTTACTCTAGAGTGAGATTGGGTGTGGGACTTCGTATAAATAGTCTTTAAAATTTCATTAAGTTATAAATCTTTACTTTTGTGTTTTAAAAAGTTTATAGTAGAGTGAGATTGGGCGTGGGATTGTATCTTGTCTTTTGAATTTCATTAAGTTTTACCTTTAAAAGTCTAGACCAATCCAAATGATAAATAAACTGATTAACTTATGACTTTTTAAGGCTTTTTGAATTCTCAAATAGATACCTCAGACCTTTTATAAATTTTACAAAGTTCAAGTTAAATACAACATGACATTTAAAATCTCCAAGAATTACTTTTATAATTTTTAAATGTCTAAAAATTGGTTTACACGCGCGAGCACAAACACACATATTCTTCATAAAAATCCGAAGGGAGTATTTCCGGTGTAATTCAGTGTCACTTGAAGGCACATTTCAGCCGTAATGTGTTTTTATCTAACGAAAATTTTGACAAAATTAGGGGTATTATATGATGAAGATGAATGTACCATGGATAGATCCGTCAAGAGTTGAAATGATATATCTTATTTGTTAGTAACATAATACAATTTTTAACGAATTTGAACCCCAAAATAATTAATTTTTTATTTTTAAAAACTTGGGCTCAAAATTGATTAAATTTGATCTTGTTGCAGAAAAAGCAAAAAGTAGGCATACTTTGGTGGTACTAAATTGATTTTTCCCAAACTTTACTCCATTCCCACCACACAAGTTTCACTTGATGCCTTTATAATGTCATCCATATATCAAAACTAATGATATCTTATGCTGTTATGAGTTTGTACTAGTTGCTAATTTAAGTTTGCAGCTTTACCTTTAACCCTTATACTAAAATGATTTCAGACATTTTCTAACATAAAGGTCAACATAGTGGGTATCATCAAGTGATTCCATCACAAAGTTAACAACCAACTCATTTAGGAACAATTGAAGTGGTTGATTAGTCACATGTCCACATTAATTAACTCACATTAAATAACTAAATCTGCCTAAATCACCATATATTTTATATAGCCTTTCCGAAGAGCAAATTATTAGCATCTCCACATCAATTTCTCATCCAAACTCACCTATTCCAAAATCATTTCCTTGTATAGAATTAGAGTCATTAAACAAAATGACTCGCTCGTGAGTTGAATGAGTCGAGTTCGACTTGCTAAGGTTCAAAAATGTGAATTTTTATGTAATTTTTGAATTTTTACCTTAGTTTAACTCGTTCAGATTGAAGTTCGGCTCGTCGATATTGTTAAACGAGCCGACTTCGAACTCGTTTAGTTAAAGAGTCAGCTCGAGCCCGAACTCGACTCGGCTCATTTACCCGCTACATAGAATTACGAATAGAGAAAAATAGAACGACGAATGAAAAAAAAAAAAGGAATGAAGTCAAGGAGTCAAGAAACGGCAATCGTACATTTCTAGCAATCATACATTTCGAAGATATGCATTACACACAACACAACTCAAAGAACAATGCTTTCCTTCAAGAAGAGATGATCGAAAAAGATGCTAGCCTTTGATGATCGAAAAAAGATGATCAGAAAATATGCATTACACACAAACACACAAACAAAAATCGAAAAAGATGCTAGCCTTTCGATGATCGAAAAATACGCATTACACAATACACACAAACACACAAACAAAAATCTGCCACACATAGCAGACCAATTTATTGATACATAGTTGATGATCGTAAAGATGCTAGCCTTTGATGGTGAGCTCTGGTGGGCTCGGCCCATTGCTGAGTTGGATTGGGCCCACCACATTGGACGCCAGGTCAGCGCGATTCTTGTAGGCAGATTCGTGCACGCCTATAGCAGCCCGACCCGAAGGGTCCAAGTTTTTCGACCAGGATTTGTCCCACGACACGGCTTTAGCCGTGCTGCAAGCCACGCTGGCCCCACCTGGGACCGTGAGCTTGGCCGAGTTCTGAAATTTAACTAAACGGTTAGCGATTTTTGTTTTTTGAATTTATTTCTCAATTATTATTATTATTAATTCTTTTTTTTTTTCTTGAACCTGTGGAAAGAATCGCTCGAATATCATCCTATAATAGTAAGCCTCCTTTGTGTTTGGAGTGTTATGAGGAAAAATGTTTGCCGCGTTTAACATCATCTTATCCGTGACCTATAACAAGTCATCAAAAAGTAGAAAATCTAATCAAATAAAGCTATATAAAGTAAATTTGGCTAAAATTCCGATTATCGCCCTTAATTAATTTGCACTTTAATATTTTCGCGAAAATGAAAAAAAAAACGAGGGCGTTACGTACATGTTGTGCCGCATGAGCTTTAAGACCGTCAATCCAACTATAACCGACACCATCACTGAATTGTTCTTTCTGCCTATACAAAATATGCTGCAAAAGAATTTATTCGAATCGAATCGTGTTAGTGAAGAAAATCATGAATTTTTTTCACCATTCAAGACTATTTTCGAATCATTAAAAAGTAAGTACCTTTGGGAGATACTGGTGTTCCTCATCATCAAAGGCCCTTCTCAAAATCCACTTCTCGATACGCCCTTCATCGGGTTTTATCTTCAAATTCGAAGGAAAAATGAATGATATATATATCAAGATTCAAGATAAATATTTTTCAACAGAATCGATGAGTTTGCCAGAAAATGAATTAAAAATTTAGAGCATGTTTGGATACAAAATTTTTCAAAAAAATCCAAACATTTTTAACTCAACTTTAACTCAACCCCACTATCATCAATATTATCAATATTATTAAATAATATCAATCAATCATTCTTACACACCACTTTACCTTAATTCACTATTCATCCACTCACATAATTTTAACTAACCATCACTTCAAATTTTCTCTCACCTACTTTACATCAAATCAACTTTAATCATTTTATTTTAAATATTATTTAATATACCCACTAACAACTAACCATACTAACTTTTTCAAAATTAACCAAACCAAACAAAAAAATCCAAACAAAATCAAAATTTTTTATATCCAATCATCCTCTTACCATCTTCCACTCGGGATCGATGCTCATAGCTACATTAATGAACTCCTTGTCCAAAAACGGGACTCGAGCTTCGAGACCCCATGCAGAAGTTGCCTTATTTGCCCTCAAGCAATCATATTGGTGAAGTGCTTTTATCTGCAAGAACATTGAAAAGAAAATATCGATTTTATGGCCCGACATTTATTTAGTTCTCCACATCTAAAAATCCATTTATGTGTACCTTACGACAAGTTTCGCGATGAAACTCTTCCTTGTTCGGAGCCTTATGGAAGTACAAGTAACCGCCGAAGATCTCATCGGATCCCTCCCCTGAAATTACCATTTTGACCCCGAGAGACTTGATCTTACGCGACATGAGAAACATTGGGGTGCTTGCTCTGATTGTGGTCACATCATACGTCTCGATGTGGTAAATCACATCCTCGATCGCATCAATACCGTCCTGCCCGTAGACAAAACGTTTTAAAAACGAGCTTTTCATAATATATCCAACAAGAAAAATTAACAAAAAGTAAGTCGAAGAATTTTTTACCTGGACAGTGAAGTGAAATTCATGGTGAATGGTGCCTAAATAATCGGCAACTTCTCTTGCAGCTTTCAAATCGGGTGAGCCCTGAACAATAAACAGGTAAAATTCAGCTTTAGTTAGCACTAAATTATAAATAAACGAGCCGAAAAAAAAGAGTCAGGGAGCAAAACTAACCTCAAGGCCCACGCAGAAAGAATGAAGTTGTGATCCCCAACGTTTGGCGGCTTTCGTGCCCGCCAAGTAACGAGCGGTAACAGATGCAACTAAAGACGAATCGAGCCCTCCCGACAGAAGAACTCCGAAGGGTACATCGGTCATTAGCCTCTTCACAACAGCCTGAAATCAATTTTTTCGAACCCGAATTTATTTATTTCTTTCAACAAAGAAATAGGAAACCCACTCAGTATGTTTGGTAAACCTAGTTGATTAAGTGAATTTCGAACTTATAGCTGATAGTTTATGACTTATGACTGAAAAACTAGCTTACATGGTAAAGTGTTTGAATAAATTAGCTGATAAGCTAGCTAAAATAAAAATTTCAATGAGCTTATTTGAAAAACTACCGAAGGAAAGAAGCTTATGAGATAAACTCGAGCTTTTTAAAAGAGCTCGTCCTACAAAACCAAACATATTTGAATACAGGAAGCTTATAAGCTATCATATAAGCTATAAGCTAACTTATTTAGATGCTTATCAAACACAACCTTAAAATAAAAAAAATAAAAAAATAAAAAAAATCTCACTTGTTCAAAAGCGTGCCTCAAGACCAAAGGATCGTAAGGAGTTGAAGGAATAGACTCGGAAAACCATGGAGGATTGTACCATCTTCTAAAACCTCCGTTCTTGCTCGAGTATATGTGACCCGGAGGAAATACTTCAAAGTGCTCACATTCATCGTGCAGCCCTTTAAGCTCAGACGATATCCACACCGAGCCTAGACCAATAAAAAAACATTTCGTCTAAAAGTTTCGATATTTTCATCCTTTTTTTAAATTTTTCGAATGAAAACCACTAAGATAATATAATGATCGAGCAGAGTACCATCGAGTCCCCAGCCGATATACAGAGAAGTTATTCCGATTGCATCACGAGCAGCAATAAAGCTGTTATCGCGAGAATCGAGCAGCACAAATGAAAAGATGCCATCCAGCATGTCGATAAAATTCTCTCCCAACTCTTCATACTGAAAAAGGCAAAAAATAAACACATCAAGAACTAAAGTTCATATGTAATAATTGATTAAAAAAAATGAATTACTACTCACGAGATGCGCAATGACATCACAATCACTCCCAGTACGGAATTTGTGATCCGGCAAAAGCTCACGAAGCTTCTCATGATTGTAGATTTCTCCATTCACCTAAAAATAAATAAACAATCAAATGTCACACACAATGTTTTATGTCGATTTATTACGTTTTTTTCCAAACATAATACACAGAGAGTAGTGAAAAAGCACATACAGTAACTATAATCTTTTTGTCTTCATTGAACAGAGGCTGGTCGCCGGAAGCCGGGTCAACAATCGCAAGCCTCTGATGGGCTAAATAACAGTCTTTCTCATGATATATTCCGCTCCAGTCGGGACCACGATGCTTTAATCTGTTTATTTATTCATTTTTCAACTCATCAGAGTTTAAAATAATAATAATTTTGATATAGTGTTATCAAATAAAATCAACAAAAACAGTAATTGAAAAAACAAAAATCAAAAGATAATTGCCTGCGAGAAAGCTCGAGGACCCGAACCCTCTTAGCCTGAGAATCATCTGAGCAGCCCAAAACAGCTAGTATTCCACACATGGTGATAATTTTATACGTAGAGCAACACTGAAAATTAATTATTATAAAATTGTGGGGGCAATTTGAGAATTGTGAGGAGTTATCGTTGTGTTGTGTTTGGGTGAACCGCTTGAGGGATGTGCGCAGGTATTTATAGGAGGTGATGACTGGGTGTGTGGGCCCCTTAAAATAATTAAAAAATAAATTAAATGCATTTTATAATAATTTTTATTTATTTTTTTATTCTGGAGTGGATAATGTCGTGATATTTGATTTTTGACCGATGCAAGCGGCGACGATTTGCGACATAATTGGTCGTTACGGTCCAATCAAACGTTGTACACTTGTATGGCTAACGTGTAAAGGCCAATTTGATTAAAAAGTTTTTTGTTTTTCTTTTTATTGAAAACTAAAAATTCATTTAATTTTTTTTTTTTATAAAAATTGTTCTTGAATTCAATATGTTTAATTGTTTTTAATTTTTTTTTTCTTCTCAAGATTACCACTCAATTTGAAAATAAAAATCAACGGTTATTACATATTTACTCAAAAATATACTAGTCACCCACTTTTATAATATTTTGCTATTTTTAATTGCGTCATAAGAATTCAATGGAAATCTGTTTGAAATGTAATACTTACAAGTGAAACGTAATCATCCTAGACGTCTTATATAGATAACTAAAATGAGTTATCAAAACTACATATGAGCATCTAAATATTCATTTGCTTACTTATAAACAAGTAATTGAATTTGCTTATTTGATTATCGTAAGATCTCCTCTCTCCTTACCAAAGTAAGTCTTCTGCCATTAGTTACCCTAGGCCAGATTTGCTTAATTGTTCGAGTTTAAATATGAGTTTTTGAGATGTGAAGATATTGTTATGCGGTTCTTCTTTCGTAGTTGGATTAGATGAATAGCGTATGGTGGAAGTTGTTCGAAGTCTTCGCCAGTCCCCGATTGAGGTGGTTGGTGGTGATTTAAAGCTTATCGAGACGGACCTGATAAGTTTTCATTTGAAGAGGGTGTTAGTTTATACAGTTTTTTCCATATATTTTAGGCTTGTGTAATATTATATTTATTTGTCAAAATTTAAAATTGATCCCATAATTTGACCATCATTGATCACTTTCAATTTTGGTTAAATTATTTGACAATTTAATCAATTTGGTCCCTTTTTTAACGGGATAAAAAAAGTGACGTGGAATTTTAAATCTGACATGGCGTGATTGTAGTTTATGTGGCGGAATTAGAAAATGTTGACTTTAAAATCAAATGATCTACATCTGCCCCACGCCTTAGTTGTAATTGACTTTTAAAATTGCAAAGTAGTCCATAGAATTTGTTAAATTTAAAAAACAAGCCCTAGCAATCCCAAAATTTAAAAAATAGCCTTCGCCGCTGCCGTTCGTCGGTCGACCATCTCTGGTCAAAAAGTTTTTCACATCATCTTGAAGCTCTTCTCGTCTTTGTTCACCTCCTAAATTTTTGGGCGAAAATTCCACGTGTAAGGCCGTCAAATGCTCTGGTCAAAATTTTTAGATCTAAAAAATTATGGTCAACACTTGGGCTTCTTTCAACGGTGTTTGTCCCATTTTTGTTGCATTTTTCCTTCTTGTTTTTATTTCTTTTTCCCCCGTTTTAGCCCCTTTCATTAGTTTTTATTAGTTTTGTAGTTTATTATTCGTCTTGTTCTCGTTTGGTTTTCTTGCGTCGTTTTTGGTATTCTTCCGGTTTTTCTCGTCTTTGGTGTGCAGGATGCAAGGCTCAGGAGGATTTATTTTTTTCACGATAATGGGACAGGGAGAACTTAACTAAGTAGAGCGTCTCGTTGGCGACACACAGAAGAAAACAGAATCGAATTCGGGTTTCAAACGAGCTCGAACGAACACAAAATACAAGGTGATGTAACTAGGCCCGAGCACCCAGACCCCCACGCACAAGCGCCGCGCCGTGATGCCCGTCGCGCGTGTACTGAGACACACCTTTCCAGCCCCGCGCCGCGCCTGCCGTCGCGCCGCGGCATCACCATCTCCCCACGCCGCTGCAAGGGACGCGGCACCCGTCACGGACCTTCAGGAGATGCTGTTCCACTCACCACGCCGTGTCACCCGCCGCGCCGCGGCAGTGCAGGATCCTCGCGCCGTGCCACATCTCGCGGAGGCCGTCACGCGCATACAGAGAAGTTCAGGCAGTCCTTGCTCCGCGCCGTGAAGAAGCGCCGCGCCGCGAGCCTTCCACTCTCCACGCCGTGAAGGCCTTCCCACGCCGCGACACAGCCAGCTCCCGCGCCGTGATGCCCCGTCCTGCCGCGCCGCGAGATAACTTCCAGCACGCCGTGCGGTCCTTTTCCTCACACCGTGCCCGACTAGTATAAATAATATTTTTGGGGACTATCGATCATTATCTCTCATTCTCACGCACTCCAACAACGACAAAAACCCTACCCTCTTTCTTTTCTCTCGTTTTTCATCGTTCTTTCATATTTTTGAACGTAGAACAAGGATTTGATCTTGGATTTTGCTATTGCTTTTGGATTCAAGTTTGTTTATCGGATTCAACGTTTAGATTCATCAATCGTAAGATTTTCTTTTGACTTAATCGTTAAATATGAATTCTTGGGTTGTGATTGCTTGTGTTGATTATTCGATTATGAGTAGCTAAATCTCTATGCTAGGGATAGGGGATTGATGTTTTGAATTCGATTGCAATTAGCATGTGCGTGATTGTTCAATTTGTACGAGTTAATCTTTTACTAGGGTTTTTCAATTGTCGGGCTCAAATATTGATAATTGTTGAAGGGTGACACTTCAACTTACAATTGTTTCGATTGAATTAGATTTATTCGTGCTTGAAATTGGGAATCTGTTTGATTAGACGGTTAACCACCCTCTAGTCTACTTTAATCGACTCTTAGAACCGAAAGGGGAGGAGTCGGTCGAAATAGGCTCGTATGAACTAGGCTTGTTCGTAACTGTATTGCCTAGAAGCTAAATGAATTGTTAATTTGCCGTTCTAGTTTCTTCTCTTGTTACGAAAAGTTATTGAGAATGAGTGCTTGGACGTGTCGATTAGTCAAATCACTTAGCTGAATAATCACTTGCCCATTAATTGCAATTCGAACCAAAACGGATCTCCCCGATTCCCTAGCTACTCAAATCATAATTGTTCTTCGTTACTTGCTTTCTTTATTGCTTAATTTGAATTATCGCAGTAGTTGATAATTAAACCAAAACCAATCTTTGAGTTAGAATGTCTAGGAACTTTATTTCTTTTATTTGTTTTTGAATAAACGTATAGAATATTCTGTAAGAAATTTAATGGGCATACTCATAACTATCAGGCGGAATTGAATAAACCCTAAGCATGTAATTCTATCAGTTCATAGAATATGGATCTTTTGCATAAATTAAATTGCACATAGAACTTACAAGAATCCAGCTTATAGTCTTTCCCTGTTTTCTTAATTTGTGATGTTTGACTTGGACAGTAAGTTAGGTTAGAACATGGGGAATGTTAGTAGGAATAGGTTTGTAGGATTCCTCCTATATATACTACATGCCCCTCTCTCCCATCTCATACGAAAATAAAGTTCAATAAAGTTCTCAACATCAAGGGCTTTATGGAAAGACGAGAGACGTGGGAGAGAGAAACAATTCACAATTCATAGGCAAAAGCGAATCCGTCATTGGAGAAGATCCATGAGATTACGAGGAAGAGATCCAGATCAACATCATAGATCAAGAAAACAGGGAAAGACTATAAGCTGGATTCTTGTAAGTTCTATGTGCAATTTAATTTATGCAAAAGATCCATATTCTATGAACTGATAGAATTACATGCTTAGGGTTTATTCAATTCCGCCTGATAGTTATGAGTATGCCCATTAAATTTCTTACATGTGGTATCAGAGAATGTGTTTATGCATAATTATTTTGCCGATTAAAATTTATGGTCATGCTGCCGCAATTGTAATTATCTGCAAATCATTGCCGCTTGAATGACGAATACATGTTGAGTATGGGAAATTATTTGAGCAAGTAATTGTTTGTGAATATGCATGAGTAACATTGCTGTTCGTCTTCTGATGACATAGTTACAGAAAAGTAAAAATTGAAATAAAGTAATGATTGTTTTGAAAGCCTTTCAACCAACTGATATTGAGTGATTGGAAATTATTTGCCTTACACACGTGAGTTACCTGACAACGAATATTGTGCATTATGAGCATATTAATTTCATAAGGGACTTGTTTCAATTGCTATTTACTTTGAAACATGCTTGGTTAGATCACATTAAGGAGTAATAGTGTGAATGTATAGAATAATGCTTAAGTGGTCGGTTGGATCCTGAAAGCTTTTCTGTTGACAAGTTTTGGTTTATGAGTTATTTAAGAAATTTTTTTTGCTCATAAATTATATTTAATCGTGTTGACGGTTGAGATTAATAATAGTTTAGATAATCTCATAACATACAATCAAATAAAATATTTTCTAATTATATTATCTATGTAAAGAAACTAGTTAGTCACCAAAGTGGCCTAGTTTAATTTATGGAATAGATAATTAAATTAGATGAAATATAATTAAAACAAAATATTATCTAATTATATTATCTATGTAAGAAACTAGTTAGTCACCAAAGTGGCCTAGTTTAATTTATGGAATAGATAATTAAATTAGATAAAAGTATCAATTATTCAAATATAAGACGATGTCTTATTAATGTACCCTTATATTATAATATTTGAATAATTGATGTTATAGATTATAAACTAGGAGGACACCCAAAGGTGGGCCACGGTTTGTAATATATGACAATAAAAGAGAAATTATATTAAAGTTAGGTTAATTAGTGTGTTTGTCCAAAGATAACCACTAATTAATCACAATACCTATAATTTCTATTAAAGATTTCCTCGTAGGCATCAATCAAGTATATTATATATTTAAGTATTTGCCCAAAGGTATATTTAAATATATATTTTAAAATATTTCTGAATCCATTAATTGTCTCTCAAAGCTTAATTAAATAGCATGTATTAAAGTTTGCAGTGTTTAAATTTGGTTTTTCTGTCAATTATTATTATTGAAAAAATTCAATGGGCGGAACTTCAATGAA